CAGTGAAAATTGCACAACTTTCTAGATGTTGACTGTGACGTTATGCCGCTGTTGATTCGAGGAGAAAACAAACCCGAGCAATTCTTCCAGGGCATTTGGCTTCGTTCCCACATTTTATATTTAGTTGTTGGTAAGTACGTCAGCAAAAACATGCTCATTCAACTCTGAAAGATCAGAGGTGGTTTAGTGACATCAAGGAAGTAGAAACGGGTGGGTGTGTGTTGAACCAAGGCAATACGAAGATCAAGTATTCTGCTTTTAGTTACCAGCTCTTTTAAAGCTCACGAGGAGTTAACTCCTTCACAGCATGTTTTAGCTCTGCACTGTTTAACTCTACAGCATCTTCTCCTCCTGCAGCGGCGCGCTGTGCCTGGTTGCAGCACGCTCCTGTGTGCTGGCTGATAGTCCTGCTCACCTGAGCAGGGTGAGTAGTCGTGGAAGTTGTAAGGGCTGGAGGGTTTTTGCTGAAGGAGGGGAAGGGCCGCGTGGCGGGGAGGCACCATGTTACCACAGCTCTGCAGGGCAGGAGCTAATGCTCTCCAGACAAATCCTAGAGGTTGGATTTATTTAAATTAATTACCATAAATGTAGCGCTGATGATGGGTGCCATTCCTTGCATGAGGGATGGCACGTAGTGCAGAGATACAAACTTCCCTGGGACATTTCTGTTCTAAAAGCAGCTTTTTTAGGGACAATAGGATCAAAACCACCACCTGCCCTAGGAGCTGAAACCTGGGAGGGGATTTGAATGCTTTTAGAAAACATGTTAAATGACCTATTTCTAAGAATAAGCTTAAGCAAGTAATGTCAAAAACAGGTTTCTGCCCTTACTGTGGACAGAGGGTGACCGAGTTTCCAAATGTTCATGGTTGTTCTTCATGAGCCCTCACTGAGGCCCAGATGCTACTATTAGAGATCCCTTGGAGCTGGACCCAGCCACCTCCCGCGTTGGTAAACGTGGCTGGCTGTGTCCACAATATGGCTCAGATCCAAAGCCCTGGTGCAAGAAGGGTCAGCTCCCCAAAAGTCATCCCCCAGTCTGCAGTGCACAAGGCAACGTGCCACAGACCTACGGCATGTGGGGTTCGTGGCTTCGGCGGCTTCTCAGTGTCTGCTGTGCGTGAGTATTTGCTTATGTTGGCAGAGGGATCATTAATACACTGCGGTGAGGAATTACAAGTCTGCTAGGGTTCCTGCTGCAGGTAACCTTGGAACACTTATAAGTGAATTGTTGCTAAACTTCCCCCAATTCAGATGTTGTTTTAGGCAGCTGCGTCACTTCCGAGCGAGAAAGGACTGGCCTGTGTTACACCTGGTGGAGGAAGAGCTCTTGACTGGGTCTCAAACGGGAACATTCTCCACAGCTGAAAGAGTTTCCAGTGCTTTCCCCTGGTGTTCTTCTGTGGGGTTGTTTCCAGGTAATGCCCTGATACATAGCTGCTGGGGAGCTGCAGACTAAGGTGCTCCTTGTCCCTTGCAGTGCAGCATGTCTCCAGTTCCCAGCACGGAGGTAAAGAGCTTTTCACTATGTTTGGTATCTCCTGAACTGCTGGTGCCATGCAGCAAAGAATATTTGTCCACATGAGAAAGATGCATCTCCCCAAATTTGCTTTGGATTTGCTTGCCTGGCACTGCAGTGAAGATCCTTCCGCTGCAAGTCCCAGGATACACACTAACCCTCAGCCCCGACCTCTTTTCTGGGGGACAGAAGGGCTGTGGGTTTTCATCCTCTGCTGAAGTCTGTTGCTACAGCTGATTGCTGGGTACGCTGCACTCCCCACCCCTTAAACTCATTAAAGATCAATTGAGCAGTTTTTTCCTTCCCTTTAACAGAAAACAATTGGAAGAAAACGTCCCTCAAAACACAATGTTTCTTCACAGCTTTTTTTTTTTATTATTGATTTAAAAGAAATTATATTTCTCTGAAAATGTAAAGCAAATCCTCTTGGAATAAGTAAGTCCTTATTCAAAGCAGGCCTCGGGGAGGAAGACGAGAGAGTTGCCGGGGTCTCGTCGCCACAGCAAAGCGGCAGGAGGCTGCTCTGGAGGGGAAGGCCAGCTGCAGCGGGGCTGAGCACGCCGTGTGGCCGTGGGGCCCGCTCTGCCCGCCGGAGGGGAACGACCCGAGTGTCCTGGGGGTGGAAGGAGCGGGTCCCCGGCCAGGGGCTGCAGCTGCGTGTCAGCAGCGCCCTGGCAGTGAAAAAGCTGTGGAGCCGGGGCCGTGAACCGCAGCCGAGCCTCGCCGCCTTCCCCGGCACAAGGTAGAGAGGAGGAGGCCGGCGGGCCGAGGCAGTTTTGGGGAGGAGCAGCCGGTTCGTGCTGCCAGAGCCCCACCTGCAGGCTGCCGCCGCCCGGGCACCCTCCGCCGCCCTCCCCGGGACCGCCGGCGCGGCTGCGGCCGCTTCCCGGCCCCGGGGGGGCGGCCCAGGTGAGCGGCCTGACCCCGAGAGGGAGGGATGCGGCGGGGAACTGCCCCAGAGCAGCTTTGAAGGACCCCCTGCCAGCGCGCCCGTAAACCGATTTTGAGCGAGGAGCGATACCGGTGTCATGATGAAGGTAAAATTAATATGCCTCAGAACGTGACTGCGCTCGAGCCCCTCTCCTGCAGCCGTCTTGCTCCCCGAGCCAGCTAGCTGTTTGACAAAGGTGCAATTCTCGGCCAGTCCCCAGATGCGCTTGTACCTAGAAAGCTTTTACGAGGCTGATTTCACTGCTGAGTAAACTTGATGGCAGCGCTCTCACTGAAGGCCAAGCAGATGTACTGTTCAACATAGTTTAATTTTACCAGTCCTATGTATGAAATGTTCTGCTCCTCACATAAACAGCGGGGAACTTTGCGAATTGTTTGCACCGATTCCAATTTAATCCTGGGTATGCGTGTGAGAGGAATGAAATCCCTTGTAAATTTAATTCCTGAAGATGTTAGGTGCTCGCTGTGCACTGCAAATCAAATCCAAGCAAGCGCGCTGGCTTCGCAGACCCCACACGGAGAGCTGCAATTGGACCTTCTGCTCCACGCCAGAAACTGCAGCCGTGTCTCTGCTGCCTTTTCGCTTGAGCTATACATCCCTGAAGGTCTGCCTCCCCGGTGCCGACTCCCACAGAACTGACCACCAGGGGCAACCCTGGCAAGTCGCTTTAACGTCTCCTTGCCTTTGGTAGCTACCTGTTTAAAAATAAAATAGGTGAGAAATTAAAAAGAAAGAGGCAGCACGTGTCATGGCAGGTCGAGAGCAGAGCTTGTGCTGCCAGTTCTGGAGCTCCATTGCTGCTCTTGGAATGGCTAAGAGGCTGGGGTACCAAAGCTTTTTCCCTCTTGGGGTATCCATGTAAGTCTTTCTCCTGTCCCACCACTGTTTTTCCGTATCAGCTGGGGCCTTCTTCCCTCTCTCAAATTTAGCTGAAATGAGCCAAATTCAGAAATCACAGCGGGGAGGGAGGAGGAAGCGATGGCGGTGGACAGACAGGCAGCACAATTGCATAAGCTTCACTTCCTAAGGAAATGAGGCAAAAAAAGATTCAGACGCCCTGGTTGAAGCGATAGAGAAATTTGTATTCCCGTTTCCCTTGGCAGCAGTGCTGCACTGTGACAGGCGATCTTTTATCACTTCTCTAAACAAAGTGCAGCTGGGACTGTGTGATAAATCTTCCCCTTGCCCCATCCCGCTACTGAAATAACTCAGAAGTGTCAGTTCAAAAAAGGACATGCTGCATTTCTTCCCCTTATTAGCAGAAATAACAAGCCTATGTTTAATAATCTGGCCTGCTTGGAAACGTCAACCCTTCCATTTTCCATCTGAATGAATAAATGGAGCTCTCTTACGCTAATCTTGCAGCGTGCCAGGGAACCCGTGTCCTCTCTGGGTAGCTCTGTCCTATAAAGCACTGAAGCTCGTAGCATAACAAAACAATTTCCAGGTGCATTTGGCTTTTTGGGAGGTACATGCTGTTGCCTGATAAGGGTGCCTATTGTACTCAGCTTTCCCATTAAGTGCATCACTGCAGATAAAACTTGTTGCAGAAGACACGAGCACAACGATTGCTTGAGAAAGCCGGCTGGAGGAAAACCTGACAGGAAAACAAAACCGTAGGTGCTTGTGCTCGATACTGGCACAAGCAGAAGCTGCGTGGAAAGGGGGGGACAGGGACCAACGTTACACCCCTCTGGGAAAGGAACCGTGAGCTTTTGATGACAGACCTGTGTGTCGTGTTTCCTCCCCCTTGTCCTCCCCGCACCGTGACTGCAATGCTGTTAGTAGCGCTACTTTCCCCAGGCGGGTTTGCAAGGGAAAAAACGGACCGGTTTACTTACACAGCTAATATTTACCACAGGAACGCGTTCGCTGGTTTGCCTTCTCCCCTGCTGTTGCTTGACTTATTAATCGTCAAGGCACTAATAGGCACGTGTTGGCCCCCGAGACCCTGTGCGCGGCAGGTGGGACCGAGCGGGGGGAGAGGCCCATGGCCAATGCAGGAGGCCGGAGGCCGGCCAGGCCGCAGGGCGCCAGCGCCGGCTCTTCAGGCCGGGAACCCGCCGGCAGACCTTGGGACACCTTGCCTTCCCTTTCTAAAACTCAGAGGAAGACCGTGCCGCCTAGCCAGATGCTCCGGGCAGGACGAGGCTCGCCTGCCGGAGCCGCAGGGACTTCCCCAGGCTCGGCTCCCGGGGGCCCAGCGCCGGCCCCGGGCCCGGGCACCCGCTCCCGCCGGCCCC